CCTCTGTGCCCTATCTTTGCCCGGCTTGTCTCACCGCCTCTGCGCCCCATTCCTACACCCCTATTCTCTGAGGTCTCTCTCGAGCTACCAGGGAGCAATCATCTCCACCAGGAGACCCCGACTCCCTACTGGGGGGTAAGCAGGGCCTGGCTGTCATTCAGCAGGGGCCATGAGAAGCCCCCCCTGGCCCCCTCCTGCTGTTTGTTCCTGAAATGGACCCTCGCACTCCATTACTGTCACTCATCCATCACGTGCGGAGAGTTCCCAGCCCATCCCTCACAGCTCATGTTAGAAACTTATTTGTACAAATTTTAAAACTTTTTTTAGGAAAGTAATCATCTTGGGCCAAGAGGAAGCTCCCACACATCTGGTTATAAGGAGAGCCACCAGGAGGCACCATGGAGTTGCACTTCCACATCCTGAACGGCTCTGAGTGGCAGGGCATCTCAGGGTGAAAGGGCGCGACAGTCAATCACAGGGCTGTCTGCGGGGTCATCCTGCCCCCCTGCCCCTTTGTGCTCCCCCCGCCTCCCCCTCTTTTGATTTGGCCCCGATCATTAACTTCCACTCGGCAGTGGGGGGGAGGAAGGCATTAGGTTTAAGGCACTGCCTTTGAGATATGGGAAGATGCAGAGGGAGAAAAGGCAAGATGGATGGGGGGTGGGGGAGAGAGGATGAAATGCAGGCAGTCATACGTCAAACTGCGTGAATGGTACTGCCAGTGGGGGGGGGGGGGCGGTGTTCCCAGATGGAGGGGAGGAAGGAGCTAACGCTGACAGCATGTCTGTGTCTTTGGGATTCAAAATGTGCTGTGTACATTATTATTACGATTATTATTATTATTTATTATTATTATTTATTTTTAGTGTCTCTCTTTCTGACTGTGTGTGGAGTGTGACATCATGGCAGGATCTCCTGCATTCTTCTCCAGTGTGAGATATGTTCAGTGTATGTCTGTCTGCAGTGTGATCAGGGATAAGTCTGGCATCTGTCTGTCTGTACTGTGTGTCTATGCTGAGTGTCCATTCCCTACTGTATGTATATCAGATGAGCCCCTGTGACCCCCCCCCCGCCCCTTTTCCTCTCAACCCCCTACAGTTCCCGTTTGGGGCCGGCCTCCTGCTGGCTGTCACGCTCTCCATGCTGGTGGGCCTCAGCCGCCTTTACACTGGGATGCATTCTGCGCTGGTGCGTCAGCCTACACGCCACATCCCTCACTCACATGCAGGGTCTCTACACAGGTGGAGCCCTCACACACATGGGGCCTTTATACACGCAGGGCACACAGGGCCCTAACACACATGGGGCCCTCACACACACGGGGCCCTATCACACACGGGGCCCTAACACACACGGGGCCCTCACACACACGGGGCCCTATCACACATGCGGGGCCCTATCACACACGGGGCCCTATCACACATGCGGGGCCCTATCACACACGGGGCCCTCACACACGCGGGGCCCTCACACACGCGGGGCCCTATCACACACGGGGCCCTATCACACACACGGGGCCCTATCACACACGGGGCCCTATCACACACGGGGCCCTCACACACACGGGGCCCTCACACACGCGGGGCCCACACACACACGGGGCCCTCACACACATGGGGCCTTTATACACGCAGGGCCCTAACACACACGGGGCCCTATCACACATGGGGCCCTCACACACACGGGGCCCTATCACACACGGGGCCCACACACACACGGGGCCCTCACACACACGGGGCCCTCACACACACGGGGCCCTCACACACATGGGGCCCTATCACACACGGGGCCCTCACACACGCGGGGTGCTCATGCACACGGGCCCCTTACACATGTGAGTCCCTCATACAGATAGGGCCCTTTCTGTAGCTTCAGCCTCCATGTGTCCATATGCTGATCAGAGCACCCTGTCTTCCTCACCTCTGTCTTTCAGGATGTGATCTGTGGGATGCTGATTTCTGCTGCCCTTCTGATGTTGACCTATCCTCTGTGGGATGCATTCGACCACCTGCAGCTAACAAGCCCCCTCTCCCCCATCGTGGCATTGGTATTGGCGCTTTTTCTATGCTATAGCTACCCCGAGCTGGACCATTACAGCACGACGCGGGGGGACACCACCATCATTGTGGCTGTGAGTGCAGGGTGCTCCATGGGATACTGGGTGAACAAGCAGCTGGGGCAGACGTATGAGCCCGATGGGGGCTTCCCCCTGCCCCTGCCGGCCCTAACCGGACTGGCCCTGGCCCGCGGCAGCGCCCGTTTCCTCTTGGGCCTGGCCGTCCTCGTGGGGATGAGGAGCGTGATGAAATCCGTCAGCCTGTGGCTGATATGCTCCTGGCACAAGGTTCCCCTGCATGACCTGAACGCCAGGAGGGAGAAGAAGATCGAGGTTCCGTACAAGTTCAGCACGTATATCACCATTGGGCTTCTGAACACCATCTTGATGAACAGGCTCTTCGTGGCTTTGAATCTGCTTTGATGCCCATCAGCAGCAACGTGTGTGTTCAGGTACCCTTGTGACAAAGCCTCCTCTGATATGGGGTTAAGACTCTTTCCAGGTGTTTCGTTACGCGTGTACGGTGTTCCGTGCATGTACATTTACAGTCATGTGTTGTATGTACAGGGAACAGGGCTGTTGATTACTGCTGCCCAGTTAGGCTGAGGACTAACGAAAAGAGGAAATGAACATTTGCTTGTTTACCCACATCCAGTCCGATAAAGCCGAGACACTTAAAAGCTTTGCCACGTCAGGACGAGTTCATCTTGGGGACTAACGGTTTAGGGACCTTCTCTGCGCTCGGCTGTTGACGTTTCCTGCTTCTGAGCTCGGCTCAAACTTGTACATCTAGCAACTTCTGTTAGACCTGCTTTTGTTCAATTATTCTTCTAGTTTCATTCTGCCTTTTGCTGGCAGTGGCTCCGCTGTGGTCTCCTGTGTTACTGTTTGATGAAGCAGACAGATGTTATGGTCTTTTTCACTGCCGTGTTGTATGTTTAAGGTGCTCGATTAGCTTTCCTGGAAGGGTCACCTTTTATGGTGGAGGAAGCTTTAAATAAATATTTTTATATTGTCTCATATTTCAGCAGCTGGTGTTTATTGCGCAAACATTTACTCAGTCATCCTTTCTGTTATAGTGCTCTGATACTCGCCACGCATCAAAGGTGCAAACCAAAGTGAAAAGTGGTACCTTGGACTACACGGTGTAGATTTAGTTTCAGCAAAAACAAGAGCAAATACTGAGCTGGTGGGTAAATCTCTGTGCCCCCCCCCCCCCCCCCCAGAAGCAAACATGGGGAGGAGGGTTATCAAATTCACTTAACTCTTCCAAAACAGTAGCAGTACCAACAGTGGCATAAGCAGTAGGGAGGACCGGAATACATTTGAGAATATTTCACATGGAGTCTGTTCCGAAATGAGCCTCTAAAATGGCGTCTCCCCTTAATCTGAATGGAGCCCATGGGCGGCGTCTCTCCTTAATCTGTATGAAGCCCTCAGATGGCGTCTCCCCTTAATCTGAATGGAGCCCATGGGCGGCGTCTCTCCTTAATCTGTATGAAGCCCTCAGATGGCGTCTCCCCTTAATCTGAATGGAGCCCATGGGCGGCGTCTCTCCTTAATCTGTATGAAGCCCTCAGATGGCGTCTCCCCTTAATCTGAATGGAGCCCATGGGCGGCGTCTCTCCTTAATCTGTATGAAGCCCTCAGATGGCGTCTCCCCTTAATCTGGGTGGAGCCCTTGGCCAGAGTGTCCTTAATCCTGCCTTGAATCCCAGGCTTGATGCTTCCTGCCATATTTCTGCTTTTGTGGTTTCGGCAGTGACCCCTATGGTCCTGCGTTAAAGCTCTTCGCTTTGAAGGGAGATGCTCTTTGAGGTGAATGAGTTGTCACCCAGTCACAGAATACAGCCAGTGTCATCGCCACGATGATGGGGGCGGTCAGTCCGGCAGGCAGACGGATCGGCGGGGAGGAAGCTGTCTGGGCGCGGACTGCAGGCTTTAGGCTGGTCAAAGAATAGCCGCCTTCCCCAGTCTGAAGGGGAAAAAAACACTAAACCTTCCAAGGGCTAGGATGAGCCCAGCAAGGGGGGGCTTTGATGCTGAAGAAGGATCCTTTTGTTCTCTGATCTGCTAAACCCACTCCCCCAGACTAATTTAAGATGTTTAAAACCCAACTAATGCAAAAGCACTTGTGTGTGCACTAGTCTCCATAATGAAACACTCCCACCCTGCACACAGGGCGATGTGTGTTTGCTTGTTTGCTGAATTTCATGGTAAAGAAACACAATTTAATCCTCGACTTTTAAAAAAAGAAAGAGATTTCAGGTTAGGCAGTGGTGACAGCCACCTCCCCAAAGGTCAGGGCTCAGGCCTGCCAGTGGATTCTCCCATGATGCCTTGCGGCTTCACACTCCTCCTGCCTTATTCTGAATGAGGTTCCAGGTCTCAGGTGATACACTGACACACTGCATCTTGCTGGAAACGGTGTAAACAAACAGAGATAAGATAACTGCCACCCTACTACTACCACGCTAATTTTGGTGACTCGAAGAGGCTGAACTCAAACGTGCCCCCCATGTAATTATAGGATTTGACACAGTTATTATGGGGAGATAAAGTGCGCTTGTTTCTTGTAACATCTGCCCCACGATCTGCTCCAGGGTCACCCGCTTCCTGAGGGAGAGCCCTGATACCATCTCATCCCCCCCCCCCCAATGTCATGCTCGGCCCCCTAGGAGATCTGCTCTGCCATCCCTCCTAGAGTGCCCTCTCTCCCCACCTTTCCCATCCCAGATTTACAGCTTCAGGAGTGCTGAAGCGCAGGTGAGTCAGCTGACTCCTTTACAGCCAGTAGCAGACAGCTGATAAGCCCCCGCAGCTGGAAACGCCAAACTGCCCCTCCATCCCGGATCAGTACGTGTGCGAAGCCCACGGACCCTGGCACACATGGGCAAAGGAACCGGCCAGTATTCTTAAACATGCTCAAGTCTGTACATGTCCAGTGACGCGCTGCTTCCTGCCAGCCTCCACCCGCTCTCCTCTCCATGGCAACCACTTACGACTGCCTGCGTAAGGACCCCCCCCCCCAACACGCACATTGTGGTGGCAACGCGAGAGGCCCACGTGACCACATGTGACCAACCATATCCGCTAGCTGACAGCTATGCTAATGGGGCCCTGTCTGACCTTTCTTTAGCCACCCCTCCCACATCCCACCATGACTGACCCCAGTCTCCGTCAGACCTGGACTGCAAGGCAAGCTTCAGCGTTTTACTGCATTCATATGGGTGCCCGTTCATATCCCGGGAGGGGACCAGCTGTCATATCCTTGATTGGATGGTACCTAAGACCTGTCATAAAATAGCCAGCTGTAAGAGTATATAAAATCTGTAAGGAGAATCAGATATAAAGTAAAACATACAGTAGCTGGCAAGTTAAATAATTAATGAAGAGGTTCCATTGATGATTGTATGTTCAGTGTTTTCTTACCATCTTTTCCTGTCCTGAGATGGGGGGTCAGGGCCTAGGGCAACTTTGGATGGAGGATTCTCTCTCTGTGCATCTCTCTCTCTCTCTCTGTGCATCTCTCTCTCTCTCTGTGTGTGCATCTCTCTCTCTCTCTCTCTGCATCTCTCTTTCTCTCTGTCCATCATCTTCCCTCTCTGGCAAGTCAAAGCCATTGATTGCTCTAATGGGTACTGAGCAAGGCTGTCAGCGTAGGAACTGGCAAGCTGTTTGCTTTCTTCCATTTCCATGACCTTGAGTGGATGAGTCTTAATCCTGCATCTGATCAAAAACAGTGGGACACCCCCCCATCACACACACACACACACACACACAGGCAGGCAGTGCCCCCCCATGGGAAAACTGGGATGGAAGTCTATAGAAACCTATAAGCACATTTTTGTCACGAAACAGACACTGGAAAAATATGTTACAAGATGCATGGCGGAAACACTGAAGCTTCCCTGGGGGCCAGGATCACATGACCTTGTACTTTAGTCTGCATCAATCAGGCCGCGGTTGTAATTTTCTTGTTTCATATAAATAGCAAACAACCACAAAATACAACCACTTTGTGCAGTCTTTGGAAAAAACATGTAATCTGAAGTGTAATATAACTCAGTAATTATATAAGATTTTTTTAGAAATAAATAGCTACTGGAAATGGATCTATGAATGTATACTAATATAATAAACTCAAACCAAGCAAATAACCTGCACTAACAATGAAGTGAATTAATTATGTTGCTTTTCTTTTGATTATTACATCTGCATCTTGGGAGATTGTACTTCTGTCTGTCAGCAAATCAAAATGTCATGTGGTGTCAGTGCTGTAGGTCAGATGGTGCAGATCTTCATCCAGAACAATAACAGTAAGTGAACCCAAAGCCATGAAACATGACCCCCCCCCCCACACACACACACACACACACACTATAGTCCTTCCCCCCCCTTAATGGAACAGAGTAGGTTACTTGGGTTACAAGTGATAGTACCAGTGCCCAGGTCAGGAAGACTTGCATTTCTTCATTTATTAGGTCTCTGGTAGGTTGGTGCCCCATCCTGGGTTGTTCCCTGCCTCGCACCTGTAGCCTCTGGGATAGGCTCTGGACCCCTTGCAACCCTGAATAGGAGCAGTGAGCACAGAAAATGGATGAGTGGATGCATGTATGGATGGAATGTTTGTGTCTTTCAGTTGGAGGGAATCTTTCTCTTGGTAACTGAGAATGCAGAACTGAGGAAGGAGGTGCCTGTCTCCCACTAGTGGAGAGTGATGGTTACTGCGCTTGTCTCAGAGTGACTCTGATTCAGGTCAAATGTTTCCCCCTTGTGGCAAACCCGAAAATCACATCTCTTTGTAGCCAAACCTTAAATGCCAATTTCAACAGAATTTCAAAAACCAACAATCTTTCAAGACATTAAAAGAAAAAAATAAGGCGTGTTATGAGGACCAAAGGTGAAATGTAGCCCATTTACAAAGGTTGTTATAGGTTGTGTTCATGTTTCATTTGTTTTTGGGGTTAGTTGGTGCGAATACACATGAATGACCTCACCTGAACTGGCTGCAGCAAGATGAATCATGGACAAGCAAAGTTATCAATTTGTTTAGCCTGAGGGATGAGCGGTTGACACGGCAACAGGGCCGACGACAAATTGCCGTTGTGTGTGATCTGCGTCCTCCGTTTCCATGAAAACCACAGACTCAGCCATCTGTGTTCGTTTGAACGACTTGCTGGCGTCTGCTGACTGGACGCTATGCGCGTGGGCAATTCATGGGGATTAATTTGATAACAGACAGATAACAAGCGGATATGAAATGTCTCAGATACTGTATACTAGCATTAGGGCCGATAAAATCTCTCAAAAGCATCTCCTTCCTGTGCACGACTTCCTGGGGCAGAGAGGGAGAAGGATGTTATAGCCTTGTTAAATTACTCCCATTTCAGAACAAAACCGCAAGCGAGTGCTAGCTGAAAAGAATTAGTGAATGAAAGCAGCTGTTTAACGGCAGTCTCTTCAGGACGTAAGTGGCTGCTACGCTAATGCTAACAGGGAGATGCAATGTTGATTAGCGAGCACGCACCGCCGGACCATATGAACCATGAGCCTACAGCTGGAATGGGGTGGATGTGGACCAGGAGCACGGCGGTGAAATGTGTTTCATATCAAAGGTGGAATTAAGTCGGAAAACCTCCTGTGATGTGTAATTTGTAACTTAGTAAAAAAAAAAAAAAAAATCACAATCTTTGGTAATGACAGCAAGCTTTGGCTATTGTTAAATCTGAAAATATGGATATGTTTTAAGTGGACAGTTAAAAGTCAATGAACAATTCATTTAATCTGTGCTCCAGAGGTCTTGTGCTGGCCTTATTTTTCAGACATAAAAGCACTAAAATAAAATAATAAAAATAAGTAATATTCAATAATATAAGAATAAGGGATGTGTTCATTTCAGTATCTTATTTCTATGTAGGTCTCACGGGGGATACGGATATTACTAGGGCAACAGCATTCATTTAAATCAGGTGGGAAAATGATCGATGTATAAAATGCAAAATTACAAAGTGTAGCTTGA